CCCGTGTAAAGTGGCATAATAAGGTGAGCAACATTGAGGTTAGGCGTAGAGTTCTAGGTAAACAGGGGAAATCAATCGACGAAGTCGTGAAGCTACAAAGACTGAGATGGTTAGGACATGTGTTACGTATGCCAAGCCATCGCCTCCCTCGACGAGCAATGTTAGCGGATACAGGGTCAGACTGGAAAAAAGCTAGCGGCGGTCAAACAAAAACTTGGCCTGGCCAGTCAATGAAATCCACAACAGTTGGTCTAAGCCACGTAGGAAGGTGTAGACTTCTTGGCTGGTTGGGGTCCTCGGGACGGTAAAAACCTATGGTTGGAAACAATTGGTGACATGGCTCAAAACCGTTCTCAGTGGCGCAGATGCATCCACTCCCTGTGACTTATGATTTCTAGTGAAACTGTTTTGTATTTCTTTATTACTCCTTTGTCTCACACCTCTGTCACTGTTTCTATTATGCTTTTCTTGTACTTTCTTCTCTTGCTTCGCGTGCTACACGGAATGTGGCGACTTGAACTTCCGCACATTTGTGCGAAGTTCTATGTCGAAAACAGACAGACAGACAGACAGTGTAAAAACATCTTTCTTTAAGTAGTCCAGAAAAGAATAAGGTGAGGGGGGAACAATGAAGAAGTATAGGTAGAATACAAGAAATAACTAACTGTATCAGTAGAAACTGAGAAATGCCAGACTATCTTGACTTGTTTAAGTAGAACGCTAGACGAAATTTCTTTCTAGTAACTAACATGATGTGGGAAGACCAGGAAAGCTCAAAGGAAATACACAATCCAAGTTATGTATGTATTTAATATTCGATTAAGTTTCAGCTTATGTGGCATCTATGATAGTGGAGCCATGCATAGCGACCAGTTCATGTAAATCTCACTCGTATCTGAAAGTCAAATTAACCACCTGACATTTGTCGAGGGATTAAGCTTAAAATCGTTTGACTAGGACCACTGAATAATTTCTGGTAGGAACCATTCATTTCGGGAAAATCTGATTGAAAAGTAACGGGGACTGAATACAACTGCTTTTGTCGCAGCAAGTTTGCTAAACAAAAGCGGCCTAGGTACAGAGTCAAAGACAGATATGTAACGATGCGTTCAGTAGCTTATTTTAGGTGGTATAATGGAGTCTTAATAATGAAGTTAGGCGTTTTGCGTTACGTAAGGATATCAAATCAATCGATGAGGTTGTGCTAGGACTGGCAAGTGTTTTAGTTAGACGTGAAGTTATGACTTATGCATGTACTGACATAACCTGACTGGGCAGTTTTTAATTCCTTTATTAATGGTTTCACTTTCTGAGGATCGTGACAAATCAGATTGAATTTTTGTATATTATATAATACCATGTATTTTGAGTAATAAAGGTTATTGTCGCTGTCAGTCTATGGTGAATCCAGACAGACAGACAGACAGTCAGTCTACCTGACTTTTTTGTCTATCTCGGTGTGGGGACTATTTCCAAGTAGTTATAGTGTCGTGTCTGGAAGCACATTCTGGTTGAGTTAACTTTCTCCATAATCCACTAACAGTCCTTAGTAATAGGTTATGAATATAAACGGATTGAGATGGTAAGGGCATGTGTTGCTCATGCATGCCTAACCATCCATCGCCTTCGTCGACGGTGAATGTTAGCTGACATAGGATTAATGAGTTTAGAAAAGAGTCTAGTGGTGGTCATGCCAAAACATGGAAGCGGTCCACGAAATCATTGGAAGCTAGTTTGAGCCACGTGGGGAGGTGTAGCCGATGTTAGTTGGTCAGAAAAACAGTCGATTTTTGGTAAATTTTCCAAATAATGGAATCAGAGCTTGAAATCGTAAACATAGATATCCTATAGGTCGTTTCTGTTAATTTATTTATTTGTTCACTGGTATTGGAAGTATTCCACATTCACTTGACTTTGAGAAGAAGCATCTTGCTCTCTGCTTCATTTAATTCAACTTGAGCAATTACATGGTAGCACTGTAATTCCTCATGGCATGTTGCATAAGGATAAATTCATGCGTTGACTGACCTATGTAATAAACAATATTTAATGATTAATTTGTCTCATATAAAATGGAGAAAAACCGAGAAAATACATTGCACTGATTAGGGCACTCTACTCGTACTCATACAGCCAGGTGAGGGCTTATGGCGAGTTGTCATTTGAAGTGGTGACGACTAGTGGTGCCCGTCAAAGATGCCCATTATCCCCATTTCTATTCAACTTCATCATTGATGTACTAATGGACTTAACCCTAACTCACTTCAGCGACTCAGGGATTGACTTGCTACCAGCAAGGAATAATCCCGTTGACTTAGAATATCCAGACGATATAGTCCTTCTAGGCGAGAACGCTGACAAGTAGAACAGAGTCTTCTAATCACCTTGAGATGCAATCTACGAGTGTTTGGGATGCGATTCGCTCCTGCTGTCAAATGCCAGATGATGTTACAGGACTGGACTACACCGACTCCTAGTTTAGAAATATGGAGTGAAGTAGTAGAGCACGTTGACCGCTTCACTTATTTGGGAAGTACCATCAGCTAGTGTCAACGGGTTGATCTCTGACGAAATCTCAGCACGGATACAGGGGGCTCGTTTCGCATTTGTTAGTTTACGCCGTCTCTGGCGTAGACGAGATGTTCGACTATCGACCGAAGGGCGAGTGTACTGCTCATCAGTCCGCTCCGTCTCCTTTATGATCAGCTGTGAGACCTGGCCATTGAGAGTGGAAGACATGAAAAGCCTGGCTAGCTGTCTTTGGTCATAGGTGCCTGCGTTCTATCTCCCATGTGAAGTGGTATAATAAGGTGAGCAATATTGAGGTTAGGATTCAGTCGAGTGTTAGATGAGGAGGGCAAAACAATCGATGAGGTTGTGAAGTTACATCGACTGAGATGGTTAGGACATGTGTTACGTATGCCTAGTCATCGCCTTCCTCGACGGGCAATGTAAGTTGATATAGGGTCAGACTGGAAAAGAGCTAATGGCGGTCAAACCAAAACATGGATTCACCTGTCAATGAAATCTACAACAGTTAGTTTAAGCCAACCACGTAGGAATGTGTAGACTGCTGTCTGGTTGGGGTCCTTGGGACGGTAAAAATCAATGGTTGGAAAAAATTGGTGATATGGCTCAAAATCGTTCTCAATGGCCGGTTGGCGCAGATGGATCCACTCCCTATGACTTGTGATTTCCAATGGAACGATATTGTTCTTCGTTATTACTCTTCCTTTGTCTCACACCTCTGTTTACTGTCTTTATTATGCATTTCTTCTGCTTTCTTCTGTTGCTTTGTGTGCTACATGGAGGGAGTGTGGCGACTTGAATTGTCGCACATATGTGCAAAGTTCTATGTCGAAGACAGGCAGAGAGGAGAGTATCAGCGCCGCTGGGATGGCGTTTGTAGAATATGTTCGAGCCACTGAAGTTGGTATTGCAATATGCGGCAGCACTGGAGAGATGGTTTCTACCATATGAAAGTACTTACATACCACCCTGAGCTTCAGAGTTCCTTATATGGTTGTACCGACTGGTGGCAAATAACTTTACTTAAGCCAACGATAATCGAGCATATGCAGTTAGTTGGTGCACATCCTCATCTAAGAGAGGTCGAATTTCACAACCGTAGAGCATGAATGTTTACACTCTACAATTGTGCATTATAAACCCGACCTCTAACAGTCTTATTATTACTGTCACTTCAGCGCCACAGGTGATCCAGGTTTGTTCCCCTTACGTGTTTACTTTTCTATATATTAAACTTTTCATCCATCGCTCATTTCGCTAGCACCCATCCAACTGCCTAGATGATACACGCGAGCATATTGACTAATTCTAACGTTACATTGTCTCTATTTTGAAGTGTATGAACAAATGGGAGAGAATCAATTTGAAATACCATGACATGTGCGTCGGTGGCACAGTGGTTAGCACTCTTGCCGACCATGCACATGGTCCGGGGTTCGAGCCCACGCCGACGCACACCTTGATATATATGGTCGGCCTGCAAAACTTGGGCTACCGATATCCATGCTGAAGATTCCATACTTGTACCAAAAATACAGTGTGGAATCAAGCTGTAATCGAAAATAAAAATAACTAAACTTCACTTGTATTTTATTTTGGTCTGTGTGTCTAGATTCAACATAGATCTTGCCACCGAAGTGCACCAGTTCTAGTTGCCACCTTCCAAATAGCACACAGAGGTAGACAAGTAGATGAGTGAGGAGAATCAATACAGTCTGACAAGTATAAGAGTGAAACAGAATGGGTAATGGTAGAAAGGAATATGAAAGATGACAGAGACTGAATACATATGCGCTGGCTATTGACAACGATTTTGAGCCATGTCACCTATTGTCTCCAGCCATTGATTCTTAGAGTCAGTCCCGAGGGCCCAAACCCAAAAGTCTGCATCTCCCTCCCTACCTGAGTCAGTTTAACTCTCAAGGACTTCATGGATTGATGAGGCCATGTTTTTGTTTGGCCACCACCACTTACTCTTTTCCAACCTGCACCTATATCAGCTAGTAATCCCCGTCGGGGGAGGCGATGGTTAGGAATGCGCAAAACGTCACCAAGCCATCTCTATGCTATCTATGTAGCTCTATAGCCTCGTCGATTGATTTTCCCTGTTTGCCCAACACTACGCCTAACGTCAGCATTACTTACCTTAATAAACCACCTAAGGTGAGAAAGAGATCGTAGACATCTATGATCAAAAACAGTCAACCTTTTCATGTCTTCAACGCGTATTGGTCATGTTTCAGAGCCATAGAGAAGGACGGAGCGAACTGGTGAGCAGTACATACGTCCCTTGGTTGATAGCCGGATGTCACGCCTGCGCCAGAGATGGTGTAACTTAGCGAAAGCAGCTCGAGCTTTTTGGATCCGTGCTGAGATTTCGTCGCCAATCAGTAAACGAATGAATAGCTGCGTTAAATATTTCATACTTACTGATGAGTTTGTCACTATTTTTTTTGTTTTTCTCCTTTCAGAGTTCATTGGATTCAATATTTTCTCAACCAGCTAGTGGTAGTAGTATTGCTCATAAAAAAGGATCAACAATGGTCACACTGTCAACTCCAACACCAACTCCGACACCGACACCAACCCCAACAAAACTACCAACATCATTGATAAACAACACAAATGATAAATCAAATCGTTATAAATCATCCACTGTACCTAGTGTTATCCGTATTGTTCGTAAAAGTTATGATACATTAGATGTTGGTAAAAATTGTCATGATAAACACTTGAAAGCTGATGCAGAATTGATTGCTGTAAGTGTTGAATTGTGTTTTTTCCTCTTTTAAACTTGTTATTTTTCAATAAATGATAAAATAAAACAAAACAACAAAACAATGTTGTTTTTAACGGAAGCTTCATCATTTAAAATGCGGCTAATAAATTTATCAATGTGTAATTTATTATTATTATTGTTCCTTTGGGTTCCTAGTGGAACATAGGACTTCAACTACATGTCTTCACTTGCCACTTCTGTCTTCCTTCTGCTGTACTTTTCACCTGCATCCATGTTAGTCCATACTTTTTCAATTCCTCTTCACACGATCTCCTCCATGCAGTCCTCCATTGCACTGACGTCCCACTCGCCGCTTCCCTTTCGGGTTCCACTCGAGCAATGGCATGAATGGCGCGCGATGTCACCCAGCGGCCTCCCCAGCGAGCTAGTGTCCAATCCATCTCCACTTTCTCCTGCATATTTGTTGGGCGATTGGTTCTCCTTTTGTTCGTTTGTTCCCATAGTTTCTTGTTGGTGATTCTTTCCGGCCTGGCTATCTAATCTTCAGTATAGAGCCAGCGAAGACAGTTGTTGATGAAGGTCTGCAACCTGTTGGCAATATACTTTTTGACCCGCCAATTTTCTGGCGGGTGTAATAGAAAGGGTGAGTTTACGAAATCTCAGCTTACATAGTTAGATAACTAATTAGTTAGTTACCGAGTACCCGGTTGGGAGTCACGCTTATTTTATGGGGTTTACGCAATTGTTGTGGCTAAAGTAACATGAAGACTTGCTGGCGAAAGGCGACAAACTGACTGAAGAAGCAGTCAGAGATGAAAACACTCCAGCTGAACATAGAGAAGACAGAGGTGGCACAGCGGTTAGGACTCTTGTCGACCATGGACATGGTCCAGGGTTCGATCCCCAGTCGACTCATACCTGATATCAGTTGGTTAGCCTGCAAAATTTGGGCTACCGATATCACATGCTGAAAATTACATACTTCTACATAAAGTACTGTGTGGAATCAAGCTAAAAAAAAAGCAAAAACAACAACCAACACCAATCACTATAAATAGAAGAAACTTGAAATAGGTCACTTATCTCACCAGGAAGCATCTTTTCAACAACAGCTGACACCATTGATGAGGATGTCAAAACCAGACTGGATTCGAAAGGCAAGAAAGACACCTCCATCAATCGGAAATCAGTTTGGAAATCTTCTTCATTCTGCCGAAGCATAAACAACAAGATTCGAACTTTCAATACCGATGTTAAGTCAGTCAGTTCTTCTATATCGGTGTGCTAAGTTTCTGATCGATATGTAACAACAGAAGACAAGGAGTAGGCAACAGATCCTTTATTTAGGAAATCAATTCATATTTATAGATTTTCATTTACATTACAAACAAACACAGGCTTCTGATTAGTTGTTTCTCACTGAAAGTTAATCTTTCATTTCTTTGTGGCTGTTTCTTGAATGTCGGATCATCTTTCTGCTAACTGTTTCCCTTTTGTTTGCCATTGCGGTTGTATCTGTGTAACCCCAAATGTGGTCCTTCCCACTTTGAAAACTGTTTGCCTGACCCTGTCGCACATTCGTCGGTATTTCGCCTCACACTTTCATATGCTGCTTTCTCCCGACCTCTCAGCAGCGTCCCAAGTAACAGCCTCATAGCTGACAGATCTTGAACGCCACTCAACTGCACAGAAGCCTTGAAGTCCTGCCTCAAGATCCATATGTCCCCATCAAAAACTGCAGGGCATTGGCTTTCTGTTTGTCGATAGGCAGCAACACCAAATGTAACAACAGAAGACAAGGGTCACACAACAGATCGTTTATTACCTTGCATCTCTTTGTGACTGTTTCTTGAATGTCAGATCATCTTTATGTTAACTGTATCCGCCTACGCAAAGTCTGCTCTGGTGGATTGCTGAATCAGTCTTTGTTCTTATTTCTCTCACGATCAATATTGAGGACGTAAACATTGACGTAAATTACTACCTACCGATTTGGCTAGCAGCCAACTCTCACTACAGATATAGAAGAACTGACTGACTTAACATTTGTGTTGAAAGTTCGAATCTTGTTGGGGCATATGACTATCTTTAAATTGATTTTCCGTTTCTTACTGACTGAGTAAATTATCATCGAAGCATGTCTGTTGTGTTCATGATGCAGTAATCAGTGAGTAATGCAGTATTCGAGCGAAAATAGATTACAAAGAAGAGAACACGAAGTTCAGCAAAGATGGCGATCTTTTCGGCGATTTCATACTCAAAAGCTATACAGTGTCGCATTTATATGGATTAGTTTACATGGATACAATACTTATTTGTTTAATTCCACATAGTAACGAAGGTGATAATTATTTTCAACTTGATATGAAAGTTTGAAGGTACGAATATAGATTACAAGGGGCTTAGAGACAAGATTGCAAAGGATTAGAAAACAGTTACAACGTATGCAAAAATTATTATTTGATAACTGGAGGAATAATTTTAAGTCAAATAGAAGTTGATAATTGTTTTCAACTTGATATGAATTACAAAAGGCTTAGAAACGCAGGGATAGAACCAATTACAGGTGTGAACAAACTGACCATAGAAACAAATTGAAATCAAAATTTTTCAACTTGAAATGTTAGTTAGGCAGTGTGAATATAGATTACAAGAGGCATAGAAACAAAAAATTGCACAGGATTAAGATATAATTGTAAAATAGTTATTTCAAACGAATTATAAATGTGAACAGGAAAAGCATGGAAACAAACTTGAAATAACTGTTTTTATAACTGAAAAAATCTTAGGTGACATGGTGAACGAGAAAATGCTCAAAAGGAAAAGCGAGAACGAAAAAAGACGAAGAAGAGAAGGAAAAGAAACGGAAGTAAAAGGAACATACCAAACTAGGTCCATGGTAGTTGTAGAGGTTAGACTAATTTCTTTTGAACACACACCGGCTTCTCGATGAATATTGCGAGGGCTTCTGCACTACAAAGAAGCCAGAAACATACTGCTCTTGGTAGGTTTCTGTTGGCTTTGTAAATCACTTTGAAAGAATCAGTTGAGATGTCGTGGGAGGTGTTGATCAGGTGTTCAATGATGGCACTTCTGATTGAACCGGTGCCTCCTCTTTGCAGCCACGCTGGGTAGTGTTCTCTGACGGTATATTAGTTACTACGGAAGGCATTATATATGCATACATTATGTTCCAAGAACTGGACTATTCTATTCCATATAATTGATGGTGATGGTGGCTAGCAATGCAGTGCAGTACTGCACACCCTTGGTCCTCTTTGGGACTCGTACATGCAAACGTCGAAAGCCTCATTCTACTGTGTTTTGAGCTGAATAAGCACTCATTACAAATGTATGGGCGTGTTCGTTTGTATGACTGATCATTTCTTCCTGTACATAGAAATCTACATTTTGTCTGTTGCTAAGATTTGTTTTCTTCTTTATTTCCCTTTCTTTATTTCTTTTATAGCAACAGATCACTTTAATTGAACTGAAATATTTTCAAGCAATAGAAGCAGATGTAAGTTGAAGTGCTACTGAAAAATTGTAATTGTTATTATTATTATTATTCATGTCATTCGTGTCACTTTGAGAACCATTAGGAACCGTAGGAACGCAATCTCATCCTAGATGTGTTCAGCTTTCCATCAGTGTGTATCCTGGAACATAGGCATACTTATTACTGGCATCCGTTTAACAATTGTCATATTTCTTAATCTGAAAGCAGCATTTAATTCCATCTACTGATGTTAAGCTGTGAAAGGAATGCTGAGAAAGTAAATCTCACCGATCAAGGCACTATACTAAAACTCATGCAGTCAACCAGGTAAGCGACTACGGAGAGTTGTCGCCTGATGTGATGACAACCAGTGGTGTCCGTCAGGGATCCCCACCACTATCTCTGTTTCTCTAAACTAAACTAAAATACAAAATGCTTCTTCATCACTTGCTGAATAGCTCTATCTCTGGCATAGATGTGATATTTGGTTATCCATCAAGCCACGTCTGTACTGATTGTATGACATAGCCATTGATTGAAAGTAGGGGATATGAAGAGGTCAGTTGTCTTTAACCAAACACGCGTTTACGTTGTATCTTTCTGTTATGTACTCGTCGCTAAATTATTGTTATGGACTGGTCGAGAAACTAATAGTCCTGACGCAAGAAGGCGGAAATCAGAAGACCACTAGGTTTGCGATGATACTTCTATTGTCCAAACACAAGGAGAATGCAAAAGTGGTATCACACCAAAGTGGTAAGTGTAAGTCACTCGAATTGTGAGAACGAAATATATATATGAATGTTCCAGACAAAGTGTGTGAACAAATCATTAGACAGTCTTAACATGAATGGCTAATTATAATGAAGTATCGATCCATATATACATAGCGAAATATAGCAGACATGTCAACAACCACCATATATGGATATATGTCACCAAGCAACGGACTGTCAACAAACACTCATATTATATATAATATAAGGGGAATATACATTGTTAAAGGAGACAAGTTCATACAAGTGAAATGGTCACAGACTAAGCGAGCAAACAGAAAGAGAGACCAACATACACACACACATAAATATATATATGTGGATACATATCACTTTCGTACTAAGTGGTAAAATATTATGATGAACAATACTCAGGTTTCACAGTTAGCTAGGTGGAGAAGTCAGTCAACGAGGTTATGAAACTTTGTTGACAGATATAGCTCAGACGGAAAATTGTCATCTGATAACTGTGACACCAACCAGTGGTGGACATCAGGGATCCCTACCACTATCCCTATATCTGTTTAATTTCATCACAGATGTACTAATGAACTTAATCCTAACTGATTTCAGCGACTCAGGGATTGAACTATCACCAAGGAATAATATCGTTGACTTAAGATATGAGGGTGATATAACCTTCCCTCCTAAGTGAAGACGCTGACAAAATATAGCACAGTTTTCAGAACGCCTTGACGTGCAGCAATCTTCGAATGTTTGGAATGCGATTCGATCCCCTTGTCAAATGTGAGGTGACGCTACAGGTTTCAACTGGACTACATCTACTACTCCTAGATTAAAGATAGGGAGTGAAGCGGTAGAGCGTACTAACCAGTTCACTTATTTGGGAACTTGCATTCGTCAGCCCCAGTGGATTGATCGCTGGCAAAACCTCAACACGGATACGAAATGTTCGTTTGATAATTGTCAACTTATGCCGTCTCTGGTTCAGTAGACGTGATATCCAACTGGCTGTCGACCAAAGGACGCGTGTACTGCACAGCAGTAGCTCACTTGATCCTTCCTTATGACTACTTGTGAGCGAGACATGCCCGTCATTAAGAGTGGGAGAGATGAAAAGCTTGTCTGGCTGGCTGTCTTTGATCTTCAGCGTGTATTCAACTCATTTATATTTCCTTCCATATATTTTCGTATTCGCTTCAGCAACCTTGACGGACAAACGCAGAAACTTGACCGTCGAACAGTCCTTGCTATTTTTCAGATCACCGAATATACACATTTGATCATAGGGAATAATAAAAAGACAGTTGTAACGAAGGAAATGTTCTTTTCGATGAAGTCATAGATGGGTGGGAAAGTTCCAGAATAATTTTCGGTTAAGGGGCAAATTAATAAAATTACAATTAAGAATTAAAACGCCATAATAAACAGGGGGGCGGATAAAACCCAAACCAAGTAGCATCATAATTATTGGGAAGATATACTTTTTCTGCAATCAGGAGTTAAAAATGCAGAAATAACAAAATAGGATGTTTGTATAAAAAATCTAGTGGAATCATAACTAACGTGATGAATAACTGTTTATGCAGTCAGCTACAAAGACTGAGATGGTTAGGACATGTGTTACGTATGCCAAGCCATCGCCTCCCTCGACGAGCAATGTTAGCGGATATAGGGTCAGGCTGGAAAAAAGCTAGCGGCGGTCAAACAAAAACTTGGCCTGGCCAGTCAATGAAATCCACAACAGTTGGTCTAAGCCACGTAGGAAGGTGTAGACTTCTTGGCTGGTTGGGGTCCTCGGGACGGTAAAAATCTATGGTTGGAAACAATTGGTGACATGGCTCAAAATCGTTCTCAGTGGCGCAGATGCATCCACTCCCTGTGACTTATGATCTCCAATGAAACTGTTTTGTATTTCTTTATTACTCCTTTGTCTCACACCTCTGCTCACTGTTTCTATTATGCTTTTCTTGTACTTTCTTCTCTTGCTTCGCGTGCTACACGGAATGTGGCGACTTGAACTTCCGCACATTTGTGCGAAGTTCTATGTCGAAAACAGACAGACAGGCAGTCAGGGATTATATATGTAGAAAATAATAAAATAAAAAAAATAGACAGGAAGTTCGGATATGAAAATATGGTAGTGTAAATAGGGATTAAGAAAAACTTAAAAATAACATGAATAAACAGGAAGTTTAGATAAGAAAGGCAATTGGATAGTCATTATTATGATGGCCATGACAGGCAGGGATAAGGGTTGGACGTATTTCTCTTGGATACATAGCGGGGGTTTGAGTTTTCGAATGGCTAGTGCCTCGACTATGCTCAGATATCTTAATTTTACTTCCTTTTACAGGTTTGATCGAATCTTGTATATTATTTTGAATGGTGCTGAATGTCCTGAATTGACCAAATATTCTGTCACTGAGCTATATACACGTTTTCGTTCTCCTTTTACCTAGCCAGGCTGGATAGTGTTCACGAGCGCGTTTTTCAAGTTGGTGCATGGTACTGCCGAATGTACACAAATGTACAGCCTGTTTGATGACTTAATAATAATAATAATAATAATAATAATAGCTTTATTCCCAGACAGTACTTGTGATACAGAATGGAATTCTCACCATTTCACTACAGTATTGCATCCAGTTGTACATTAACAATAAATAAATAAAATTCTACATAGATTAAGAGTAATCTCAGTTCATTATGACAACAACATATTGGCATGTCGGTAGCAAAGCCAAAATTTAAACAGAGTGTTTGAAGGTTTTAGAAAAGTAGATGCTAACATATTTACTGGCGTAAGCGGAAGAAAGAAACAAAGCAGCACATAACAGAAAAAAAGAGAGAGAGAGAGAAAAGGAAAAGAAAGAAAGAAGACGTTGTACCTGTAAATGATATGATTGAGTTGGAAAGACGAGATCCAGTTGTTCTACTGACTATTTAATAAGTTAAAGATTTCACGCCTAATGCTTTGTTTATCTCACAGAAGACGAGCTAAGTAAGGGTATGGTTGAGTTTTTGTACTTACTAGTGCGAGCATATAGTTTTCTATATAGACTTCTGACCTTGCCTGATGAGATAGATACAAGGGGAGAGTTGTCAATGAAGAGGGTGATGTGAGTTAGATAGGTAGGATGGATTGAGCCCATTTTTCGCATGAGTCGATGTGCCTGTCAACCAGAATATTAACAAGCTGGTTAAGTGGCACGTAGCTTACCCTACTGACAACCTTTAACATCCTGCGTAATAAGGTATAGTCTGTCTTCAGTAGCCAGCCCTGGATAAACTAAGGGGGAACAATAGAGAATAATAGGCAGAATGGAAGAGTTAACGAATTGTAGGAGTAAGGGTTGGTTTGGGTTATATCAGAATGTCTTAACTTCATGATGTAGAAGGTGGTAAAACGGAATATTTTCTTAGAAATCATCAAGATTATGAGACGACTTCATCGAAAAGAAAATTTTCTTCGCTGCAATTGTCTTTTTATTATTCCCTTTGATCAAATGTGTATATTCCATATATTTGTTGACCAGTATAGGTAGGTCCTTGGTTGGAGAGGTATGTTAACAGAATTTCTTGAGATAGATAGACATGTGACTTTCAAAGGCGTTAATTCCTAGCTCTAGAACCATATATTCTATCTACTTCAAAAGAGGAAATTTCAACAGTATCCAGTATGGCTTAATTATTTATTATTATTATATCCTTTAATTACTAGAGGAACATAGGGCTTCAGCTGCCCGTCTCCATTGCCTTCGGTTTTCTGCCAACTTTTTCACCCCGCTCCAAGTCTACCCACATGCTTTCATCTCCTCTTCCTTTACATGACCTCCTCCAAGTCACCCTCACCCTTGCACTGACGACCAACTCGCTGCTTCCCTTCCAATCGGGTTCCACTCGAGCAATGGCTTGTCTAGTGATGTCACTCACTTGATGGTTTTCTCAGAGTATGGCCAGCCAATCCATCTCCATTTCTTCCTGCCTATTTGTTTCACAATCGGTCGCTGCTGGGTTGGTCCGCTCACTGCCAGAGATCCCTGTTGTTGATCTTTTCTGGCCGGCCATCTTATCTTAAGTATTGAGCGAAGACAACTGTTAATGAAGGTCTGTAGTTTGTTTGAGATGCTCTTTATGACGCGCTGGCTAAGTCTCTGATCCGTATAGTAGCACTGACTGACTTCACATTGGAGTTGAAAGTCCTGATCTTATTTTTGATGCTGAATGTTAGGTGTGTAGAAATGGTTTAGAGAGTTGTCTAAACTCTCCGACTGCATCCTAGATCAGAAGTGGGCGAGTCACAATGTGTGAGTATTTCACTGTGATATCGACCCCCCCCCACACACACAAATTCGCATTCCTTGCGATATAATTAAACTGATCACAGTATATATTTTCACTTAACAGAGTATTTACATAAAATAAAAAAACACACTCTATTTAATATTTGTATTTGTTTTCTCTCAATTATTCAGGAATTTTATACACTCAAATGGAATAGTAAAGAGAAAATGCAATATGCACCAAATATTGTTGCATCAACACGATGGTTCAATCAGGTTAGGCCTTGTTTTTATACATATATATATATATGCTTTTAATTTGACTTGCTTTTTCTGTTCATTAAAATTTTTAGAAGGCACAATGCATTATTAATAATTAAAAGCGATGTGAAATACTTACTAATATATTTTTAAATTAGACTGTCGGCAGTAACTCTCTCTTTCTCTCTCTCTTTGATTCCACCGTAAAATGTGTACAGTCCACTTTTAATGCACAGTACGTGGTGTGAAGTTTGTTTTTCTGTTATTCAAAAGAGATAATGATTATTAACGAAGCGAGTCAGTGGAATCTCTGTCTGTCTGTCTGTATGGATTCAACATAGAACTTGCCACCGAAGTGCACCAGTTCGAGTTGCCACATTCCATCCCAATAGCACACAAAGGTAGACAAGAAGATGAGTGGAGAGAATTAATAGAGTTTGACAAGTATAAGAGTGAAACAGAATGGGTAATGGTAGATAGAAATATGAAAGATTACAGAGACTGAATACATGTGCGCTGGCCATTGACAACGATTTTGAGCCATGTCATCTATTGTCTCCAGCCATTGATTCTTAGAGTCAGTCCCGAGGGCCCCAACCCGGGAGTCTGCATCTCCCGCCCTACCTGACTCATACCTAATAGTTGCCAGGATCACACACACACATATAACTCATGCATGAAGATGCTATGACAGCCACATACATTGTGTAGCAACAGCTGATGAAGCTACGCAGTTACTCAACAAGAATGCCCATTATCCCCATTTCTGTCTGGAGTTGCATCAGAGGGAGGAAGGCAAGGTAATAGAGATGAAGATGAAGACAAAGATAAGTGAGGATTAGAGAGGTTTTGTGTGCATTTCGGATTGTGAGGGTGTTTGTTACTTCCCGGCTGCCCACACCGTGGAAGTTGGTTGCCGATAACTGCTACCTTGTCGTGGTGGTCGGGCTTGAATACCGCAATGACCCAACAAGCTGAACTGACTGGGACTCTGTCTCCACAGGTCCTACCATGTCAGGAAGGTTTTCTGGATAGCGGTTAAACTAAAAGCAGTTACCATGGGGTACATGGGCTCCAGTTTCCAATCGGATCAAATGGCGTATGAACCCACATGGGTCACCGGCAACCATGGGAATGCAGCTCCTGACGCTGCTCCGCTGCCTTGCGGATTAGACTCCAAGTCAAAGGCTCGGGGGTGGTCCCTTAATAAAGCCACCTGCTTCGGTCTGGGCGCCCGGGCAGTATCTCAGCCCGCACACAATGAATGAATTAAAGCAACGAACTCCCATTGAAACTCAACGCGCTTAGTTAAAATGATTCCAAGCAATATTGATCCCTCAAGGAACTTATTTCCTTCCTACCCTACTTTTATTTTTATACATAGTTTCCTGTATTGTACCTTTTCTAACCTTGGCTTCTTAACCTTCGACAGCCTTTCGCCTTTGTCGAGATTCCCAGCCTATCCGTGTCGTTTCGAGATGTTAGTGAGTAGTCCTCAAAATGGTTGTTCCCAATGTGACATCTAACACGGATATCCTGAAACCGCGTGCTGCGTTCAAGCTGGCTACCTACAATGTTCGGACGCTGATGCAAATCGGACAACAGGCAGGGTTGGCAAGAACTTTGGAAAGCCTCGCTATCGATGTCTGCTGCATTTCGGAGACCCGCATTCAAGATCCCAGTGAAGTGCTTCGACTATCCTCTCCATCTGGAAGTTCTAGTAGTATGTACCACCTGCGCTTATCCGGGGACCCTGTGGCGTCGGCATCCGGCGTAGCTGGTGTCGGTGTCGCACTGAGCGCTAGAGCCGAAGCTGCACTGCTCGACTGGATTCCCATTAACAGTCGTTTATGTGCTGTGAGGCTGGAAGGTTATACGAAAGTAAAGAGTAGTAGGCCAGATAGGCGGTGTCTATTTGTTGTCTCTGCCTATGCACCGACGGATTGCAGCCCGGATGCAATGAAGGATGAGTTTTACTACCAACTGAGCGATCTCTTGAAACAGGCGGGTCGGAGGGATATCGTAGTGCTGGCTGGGGACTTGAATGCACAGGTGGGGCGTCTAAGCTCAGAGGAGAATCGTCTAGGTGGTCAGTGGGGACTACATGGTCGCAGGTCAGATAATGGGGACCGTCTTCTGCAGCTTTGCGCGGATCACAACCTATTTCTAGCTAGCACCAACTTCCGGCACAGCCATCGCCGTAGCGCTACCTGGCGTCCTCCCTCTGCGAAGCAAGCTTGGACTCAGATTGATCATATCGCGGTCAGTTTCCGGTGGCGAGGATGCATACAAGACTGTCGCTCCTTCTGGAGCACATGCCTGGACTCCGATCATGCGTTAGTGTGTGCCAAGTTCGTCTTGCGATTTGGTGGGGTTCGTAAAAGCCGTCGTCTAAGCGTTGATGTGAGCAAACTAGTAGCACCTGCTACTTCTTTGAAATATCAGAATGAGTTAAAAACAATGCTTGCCAGCAACCCCCCAAGTAGTATAGATGAACATTGGCTTCATGTGCAAGGTGCCATGCAAAAGGCGAGTGTAGCCGCTTGCGGCTTGAAAGAATGCTCCGCTAACAACCACTGGGTTTCTGCGAGTTCCTTGCAACTCATGGATGAACGCCGGTCCATTCCGGCTGGCAGCGAATACAACAATCAGCGAAAGGCGCTCACGCGCAAGATTAGACAGTGTTTACGTAAGGACCGCGAAGCCTGGTGGTCAGAACGTGCGTGTGAGATGGAGTCAGCTGCTGCATCTGGCAACAGTCGGAAGCTGTTCCAACTCATACGAGCCACCGGCAGCAAGAAACAAGGTGTCAGCGAGACGGTCTGTGAGGCAGATGGCACTCCAATTACCAGCCTGAAAAGACGCCTGGAACGCTGGGCAGAGCACTTCGGGAAGCAGTTCAGCTGGCCACCAGCTTCAGTGTCTACTATCATTAGCCCGAGTGCTCCTTGGTCGGTTAGTACCGACCCACCCACCGAAGCGGAGGTCCGTAAGGAACTCCAAGTTCTGAAACGCCATAAGGCGCCCGGCCCAGACAAATTACCCCCGGCTCTTTTTAAAGATGGTGGCGAGACTCTCACAATGGCTCTAACTGGGTTGTTCAGGAAGGTGTGGGAGACAGAGAGTGTACCATCAATGTGGAACGAAGCCATTATCGTCCCCATCTTTAAAAAGGGTCGACGTAATTCGTGTGACAATCATAGGGGTATCAGTCTGTTACCAGTCGCGTCTAAAATATTGGCTGCTGTCTTGCTTCGCAGACTGTGCAAAATACGTGAAGGATTGATTCGCGAAGAGCAGGCTGGGTTTCGTTCAGGTCGTGGATGCATTGATCATGTGTTCACCCTTCGTCAGTTGTTGGAACACCGCCACACGTATTGCAGGCCAACGATCGTTGTGTTTCTTGATATTAGGGCTGCCTTCGATTCGTTGGACAGAACTGTGCTCTGGAACTGTCTGTTAGAGAGAGGTGTACCTGAGAAATTTGTTAACATCCTGAAAGCCCTATACAGAAACACCTCAGGTAGAGTGAGGGCATACAACCAACTATCACCACTGTTCCCAACCAACAGTGGGGTTAGACAGGGTTGCCCAATCTCTCCATTTCTCTTTAACTTTGCCATCGATGACATTCTGGAGTCAGCTCTGAAGGATGTGCGTGAAGGTGGTGTAGATCTGCTACCTGGAGATAGACTTTTCGACCTCGAGTATGCAGACGATATCGTCTTACTGTGCGATAGCATGCAGGCTGCCCAAATCGCACTTAATCAGTTGGCGATCAGTGTCTGTAAGTATGGTATGTGCTTTGCGCCGTCTAAGTGCAAAGTACTGTTACAAGATTGGCAGGAGCCTGTACCTGCACTCACTCTTGCGGGTGAACCGCTTGAAGTTGTTGATAAGTTTGTGTACCTGGGTAGTTGTGTGAGTGCTGGCGGAGGGGTGACGGATGAGATTTCCAACCGTATAATGAAGGCTAGGGTGGCATACATCAACTTGAGCCACCTCTGGCGCCGTCGCGACGTTAGCCTGGCTGTCAAAGGTCGGGTATACAATGCTTCGGTGCGGGCTGTCCTGCTCTACGCCTGTGAAACCTGGCCTCTCCGAGCTGAGGATGTGCGGCGACTCTGCGTGTTCGATCACCGCTGTCTCCGCAGGATTGCTTGCGTTCGATGGCATCATCGCGTGAGTAATTCTGAGGTTCGGCGGCGTGTGTTTGAACAAAGTGGAGATCACCATTCATTGAATGTCGTCATCTGGAAACACCGGCTCCGGTGGCTTGGACATGTGCTCCGAATGTCACCCCAGAGGCTTCCGTACAGGTCTCTGTTCGCTAGCCCTGGGACGGGATGGAAAAGGCGGAGAGGTGGTCAGTCCATGACGTGGCGTCGTGGGATGAAGGATTTTTGTGCTAGATTAGCATCGGTTGGTGTGTCACGACTCCCTGGTTGGGGTCCGAGAGATAGCTCAAATCGATGGCTCGAAACGTTATCGGATATGGCCAAGAATCGTAATCAGTGGCGAATGTGTTGTGATTTCCTTCTTTCTTCCCTTCCCGATGATAGCTAACGAACACTGTTTGAACTTGTTAAGCATGACTGTTTTCCTTCCAGATGAAGTTCTTTATCCGTTCTCTACTTATATATATTTTTTCTTTTCCTTCCTTCCTTTTTTTTGATCTATGTTGTTTTATTATTATTGTGTGGCGCATCTTTCTTGGTGCCATATTGTACCAAGTTTTTTATGCGTTTAAATAAATAAATAAATAATGGTTGCGTGACCGCAGAGCCCAGGGGACAACTGCTTGAGGTCGGTCACACGCGATCTGTTTTTGTCTGTTCTCTTTTGTTTGGTGTGCCTCAGTAGCATACTTATCACTCCTGCCCTGTGACACGGCAGCAGGAAGCGCGGTCGTTGTTAATCCGGGCCACGGCCGATCCGGCATGAAATTTTGTGAATTTGTTTGGATCATGGTATTGGATGGGGTAGCTGCTTTTTGTTTAACCGCTATCCAAACA